ACGTGTCTGCATATGGAATCGTGCCCTAAGTACTATGGAACTTCGTGTTGAGAGTAGAACGACCATGAACTCGATGACGTAGGAAAAAAAAAAGAAAAAGAGAGAGAGAGAGAGAGAGAGAGAGAGAGAGAGAAGAAAAATAAAAAAAAAAACAAATGGTAAAAGAAATAAAAAAAATATATAGTCGTAGAAAACGTATAGCTGAAAATAGTAAAATGAAAGGGAAGCATCGGGTTCGTTTCAAGGATAAAACCCCATTTACGTTAACTTTACCATAAATGGTAATATAAAATGATGCTCGAGTTTAAATCTATTTATCTATCCATCATTTATCTTTTTAATACCTTTCATGATGTCTCCCACGTTCTTCCTAATATTTTTCGGATGTCACCTCTATTTCTTATAGTTTTTTCTCTCTTCTTTTCTTATATTTCTTTTTGTTAATTTGTTAAACAGAACATTCCCCCTTCCCACTGTATTGACACTTTACTGACCGGCCGCTCAGCCGCAGATACTCCCTGGCGCCGGCTGTTTTTCGGCTGTTTTTCGGCTGTTTTTCGGCACCATCGCACGGGGGTATCTGTGCGTTTCGTATGCTCAGAAAGAATTGTCCGCTTTCTGTTATTACAGAATATTACAGGATAGGATAATTAGATTTAATAAAATGTTGATAACAACAATGCAAGAAAAGCGATTTTTCGGTAAGCGTGGGCGATAAAAAAGCCGATTAATAGGCGATCGGTCAGTAAAGTGCTCATTTACGTAAAGTGAAATATATGACGGAGGAAGAGGCGATTATACTAATGTATAACCGACAGTGGCCTTGTTGTAGGATTAGGAGAGGTGGTTGGCTCACCGTTCAACATGAATCCATTTGTGTTGCCAACATGCAGCCAAGGCTACTCGACTGCCGGCAGTCCACTACTCTCGTCAAATGGCAAATAATGTTATGAGATGTAAGACTCCGATGGATGAAGAACCTAACTGCTGGTATCATCGTGGGAAGAGGACTTTGCGTACCGAGAGAATAAGGACGAATCAACCGCGATGTCCCCTTTCCTATATTAATCTTACTATTTCTATCTCCTTTCTTCTTTATTTTTCCACTCTCACTATCCTTTCTCTCTTTCTTTCTTTCCTTTCTTCCATTTCTCACTCTTCTTACCCCTTTTCTATCCTCGCAAATTATTTCCTTTTTTCTCTTCGAGTCGACGAATGAAAATTATTGTCCGAAGGATTTAACAAATCTCTCTCGACAACGCAAAGAATTTTACCGAATTTGTTATGCTCGAATTAATTAAAGAATCATACATATCGTACAACGAGAACAGATGGTGTCACATCTATTTAATACTTATAGAAGAGTTTTTTCATTTGTTATTAAAAAATAACTTGAACAAAAAATAAAATCAATTGTTCGATTATTCAATTGCATGTTTATTTGCTTGATACTAAGGATGACTAAATGTATCGTGTTAATAAAACTATAATTTCATTTATTGTAACATTTGTTCATTGCGTTAGAGATATATTAGATATATATATATTTTATCTACATATAATATATATTATATATTTACTATCTATATTATAAATGTATATATATAATATATATACACACATAATATATTGTTCATCTATATAATATATATCTATATATAAATATATAAATATATATCTATATCTATAAGAATGAAAGCATTGAAAAATGTGACACCATTAGAAGAACATATCGCTTAGCGGTGAGCAAGCAAGCAAGCAGACTCGATAGTTTTTAGTAAACATTTTTCGAATTCCAAATATTTTATCTTCCCAATCCTTTTCCCCAACCTTTCCGAATCATCTCTCCTTTCACGCTCCGAACATCCAAACCTACCTATCTACGTTTTAAGAGACTAATCTCGCCTAGATAGAATAATATTTAACATAATGTAATTTGTAAATTATCTGTAAATATTGTTGCGATGTACAAAATGACAAAACTATATAATGCGAGACGATTATTCGAGAGAAAAATTAACAAAAAAAAGAAGAGAGAAAAAAAAAAGGAAAAACAAATGCGATCGTAGAGCGTAAAGTTATATATATATATATAGGAATTGTAAATAGTATCGTAGAAGAGACGAAAAAAATGAAAAAAGATAACAAAAAAAAGAAAACCACAAAAAATAAGGCCCGTAGCTTATCCGTATAATTGTTAACAACGCCATCCAATTTTTTAACGAACCATTCGTCGATCGAACACGAACCATTCCATTCGTGTTTCCTTCCACGATCATTCACACTCGAGATAACCAACTAATTTCTTACGATCGATCATCTTTGGTTTATCCCAATCGTTCTTATTTCCATCTAATCAATGATGATCTTCCACTATACATACTACCATATTCTAATTGGAGAAAAGAAAGAAAATGTCGTTGACTGTGACACGAGGATAAAGTTGGACCGAGCGCGATCTGTAGTCGAAGGAAAACACAATCGATAATATCGGAATTCGTTTGATAAGCCAACCCTTATTATCTTATACCGGGAATATTCCTCCTCACACACGAATCACAAAGAAAGTATACGAAGCCATTTATACATCAACGAGAAATAACGAAACTTTCGATTAGTCCCAAATGTTTGTTTTATTTTGTTTTCAGCACAATTCTACGAGCATACAGGAACGTCGTCGTATCGTTTTCTTATGAACAAGTTTGTATAAACGAGCTCATACGTACGAGCCGTTCGTTGTTTGAATTATTATTGTAAAATGTTCCTTTATTTATTCCATATCGAAATATTTCGGTACTCGCTATTTCATACCGAAATATCATTCAAAATATTCTAATACTTTGAGAATAAAACGGGGAACTCAATTCTTTTTCTGATCTTTTAATTCAATAAAATATATCATTCGGTTATTATTATTATTATTATTATTATTATTAAATACAGTTTTTAATTCGATCACACGCACACAATCACACATCTTTCGTAGGGCGCGTCGTTCTTGTACGCGTGCATTTAAATAATGCGTTTAGAACAACATTCGAGCGTACAAGCACTCTCTCGTCGTTGTATATTAAAATAAATTAAACTTACATTTTTGAGAATTAAAACAAGATGGATCATATTGTGTTAGCTGACGTCATCAACCTATCTTTTTCACTCTTTCTCTCTCTATTTCTCTCTATCTTTCTCTTTCTCTTTCTCTCTCTCTCTCTTTCTACAATTATACGTGTGTACATACATATATGCACGATACGTATAGATTAAACTTATCAATAATTATCGATTAACAATTCAATATCTCACTTACAGTCGAGGATCTACCCTATTCTACGCAAGATTGCTAGTAAGTATTCGTTTAAGAATTTACGAACTTTGTTATCCGTACGTCACCCTTGTTTGATTTGCGTTACACTTGCAGAACACGAATTAACTAATGAAATAGTTAATTTGTCGATCATAACATTGTTAAATATATTATTAAATAAAATGATAGAAAAAAATATTATAGCTGGCTTTTTTCTCTTACACTTTTTGTTACTATATGTTACTTTATAAATTAATAAATAAATAACTTTTATATATCGAATTATATATACGAATTTTCTACAACAAGAAAAGCAATAAACAACGATTGTAAGAGTTCACATTTAGTCTAATTAACGTGATAATAATCGATATCGTGAAAAGGCAATAATAAGGATGGTAGTTGATCGTTGAAAACGCATGGTGGACGACCAATTCAGTCCCGAGAGAACGCGCATTCGATTTAACAAATAGCGAAACAGGATCTCCAAGACCACTTCGAAACGATTAGTTCACATGGTGTCCTGTTACCTCCGGCCACCAAACGATGCCGTACGTATGATGTACGTTATTGTAAGGCTGTTTGCGTTATTAGATTTAGATCGGCTGGAACACGGCACGTGGCTAAAGAAGGGCTGCACGTGTCACACTACAAACGTTACAACGTGAGTATAATACAAAATCGTTTCTCTCTCATGTCAGTGAATTGCTTCGAAGCTTTTACCCTCCTGCCAAGAGCTCTAACACTTCCCATACATATACTACATTGTTTTTCTCAAAAAAAGATTACATTGATTTTTCTTCTTTTACAACAATATCTTCATCGATAAGTTAACATAATAAACTCTTATAAAATATTAATAATCAATGTCATCTACAAAATTATGTATAATATAAAGATTTAAAGAAAAGTGTCCTCCTCTATATTATGTATATGTTACCGTCAAAGTCGGAAACTTTTCAAAAAAATATCAGAGATTGCAATGCTATAAATTGTACAACTTTGCTATTTCTTTGACAAGTTTTGGTAAATATTTTTTATACTAAAAGTGAATAGATTTTAATGAAACTTATATTAAATTAAAGAACACTCTTTTGTCTACGCGTAGAATACCATATCGAGTTATAAATTTAGCATGAAAAGTTCTGAAATGTCAGAGAATGCAATGCTGTAAATTGTGCATCTTTGCAATTTCTTTGAAATGTTTCAGCAAATATTTTTTATACTTAGAGCATATGAATCTTAATGATTTTTATATTAAATTAAGGGGCACACTTTTGGCTACACGTAGAGTACCTTATTGAGTAATAAATCAATCTGAAAAAGTTCATAAAATGGCAAAGAATGCGATGCTGCAAATTTTCTAGTTACATGGTTAAGCCGATATTGGTAATAGTAGTGCTCTACCTTTATCTTACCGACCAAGATCTGATGGTAACTTGTTTTGGAAAATTTTTTACTGTCGGTAAGATAAAGGTAGAGCACTACTATTACCGACATTGGGTTAGCCATGTTACTACAATTTCAATATATTTTAAACTTTTTTATTTCCTAGTAACTTTTAAATTATAATTCTCATTATAGAAATGTAAAGAAAACTTTTTGTACGAGATTGAAACTAATAAAATATACTAACATTAAATTAAATAATTAGTTAAATTTATTTCTATCATGTAAAGAAAATCCTAAAAAATCTTTAAAAAACCGACCGTCACAAGTGGTGACTCCCTTAACGTTGCACTATTCTGCATTTTTTTTCTGTTCACCTGCTTGGATTTTTTGTTTTGGTTCGGCTACCTTGACTACTTTCGGCTATCCTCGGCTACCTTCGGCTATCCTCCAACGAAGAAGATGTATCTACCAAAAATAATCAAACATAACCATAAAAAACATTTCAACAACATATACAAACAAAAGTTGAAGGAATATGGTAAGAACATTTTTGTGTGTGATAAATTAAAGTACGTTTGAATTATTAACGATTATGAAATATAAACTGTGTATATGTATTTAAATATTATTTATTATTTCAGTATTCTTTAGTTCATAAAACTGAAAATGCACATGAAGACAGTATTTGGACATGTGCTTGGGCATGTCCAAAGAAAAAAAAAGATATGAATCTTGATATGGAAGATTCGAGGTAATATTCTTTAAATAATACCATTATGATGCAGTAAAAATTGTATCAATTTTAATTTGACAGAGATTCCATGCAATCGAATGATGATGAGATACCTGAGTATATAGTAACTGGATCGGTGGATGATTCTGTTAAAGTTTGGGAGCATAAAAATGAGTCTCTATATTTGAAGCATAAATTAACTGGACATTCCCTTGGAGTGGTTTCAGTAGCTGTGAGTTCGGATGGTTTAAGTACGTTATAGACAAATGAGAGAAAAAAGAACCTTTTATTCTTTCCAATACAATATGTCTAGAAAGTAATAAATAATGTATTATATTTTCTTGTTGTTTCCAGAGTGCGCATCGAGTTCGCTTGATTCTAGTTTGAAGATATGGGATTTGGAGTCAGGTGAAAAGATGTCTAACATTGAAGTGGGACCCGTTGATATTTGGACAGTGGTATTTTCTCCTGACGATAAATTTGTTGTATCCGGTAGTCATTCTGGTAAGATACATTTGTATGGAACGGAAAGCGGAAAACAAGAGCAAACGTTGGATACAAGAGGTGGAAAATTTACACTCAGTGTTGCCTTTGTAAGTACCCTTTTTTTTAAAATAAATTATTTTCTGTGTATATAGGAACTATTACATCGATTACAGAGCGAGTTAATATCCATACTTATTTCTAGAGTCCTGATGGTAAATATATTGCTAGCGGTGCGATAGATGGTATCATTAATATCTTTGATGTTACTTATGGTAAAGTTCTCCGTACATTGGAAGGTACATTTAAGAAAGTATAAACTAACATTTGTTATATATTAATCCTACACACACACTCCACTCTCTTTCTTTCTTTCTCTCTCTTTCTCTCCCTCTCTCTCTCTCTCTCTCTATCTCTCTCTATCTCTATCTCTCCTGCTTCTTATAGAAAGATATATTAAAAAGTTTTTTTTAGGTCATGCGATGCCTATCAGATCCTTATGTTTCTCTCCTGATTCTCTGTTACTCTTGACCGCATCGGATGATGGACACATGAAAATATATGACGTGTCAGTTTCTAAACATATCTAAGAAAGTTTAACTAACAATATTACTATATTACTATTATTATTATTATTATTATTACTATAAACTTTTGTGCTATTATTATTTATACTTATGTGCTTCTTCTCTAAAAGAAAAAAGAAAAAGAAATTACATTTTTATCTTATATTTTATTATAGAAAAGATGCGAATTTAGCAGGAACCATGTCAGGCCATGCCTCTTGGGTACTCGGGGTTGCTTTTGCACCTAATGGAAAAAGATTTGTTTCCAGCAGTTCAGATCATACGGTCAAAGTTTGGGATTTAGCGCGTCGTAACTGTTTGCATACATTTAAAGAGCATAATGATCAGGTATAATCATTAACATAAATAATTTATAATATTCGTTTATCAAAAACATATTTCTACGCTTAACTAATCACCAATATCTAAATGTTTTCACATACGTTCGCGTACCATAGCATTTGTTTTTCAATGATTACAAGTATAGATTTAATCGAACGATAATCAATGATAATAACAATTATTTTTTGTTAACAGGTATGGGCAGTAAAATATCATCCACGAAAGAACAATACAATTGCGTCGGTATCCGAAGACAAATCAATTAATCTTTATGATTGTCCTTTATAATGCATAATAATTATAAAAGTAAATATACAAAAATAAAGAAACAATTTTCATTACTACGTTTTCTTCTTCTTTTTACGAGAAAACTTCGAAATATTTTTACGCAGTATTATTATTATGATTATTATTATTATTAAAATCTTAAACAGTAAATATTTATATAATGAAAAACATGAATTATAGTAGCTAGAAATTTTATTATTCAGCACTTATTAGTATACAAATTATACTTAAATACCTGCCAAATGTAAAGTATAATATAATAATAATAGAGAAATAAATGTTACTTATATCCTAAGAAGAATAAGGGGAGAGACTTATTACGCAATGATTATGAAAAAATATGCAGGATGGATGCGAAGAAAAAATTCGTTTAAAAAAAAAAAAGAAAATAAATGAAAAGGCGACCCCTTTTATATCCGAGTTGGGACGGTTAAATTTAATTAACCCGAACTGGAATGGGGTTCGATACTTATAAATGCCATTTAATAAATAGTGAAACAATAATAAAGAAAAAATAAAATATTTCTGTACTCCATATTACGCCAAACATTTTTCTTCTAATGGAACGTGCGGTTCGCAAAAGAAGGAACGATGACACAATATAGAATGCAACATATTTGAAATAAGATAACAGGAACAAAAAAAAAAGAAAATCAATGAATGAAAAACAAAAAAAAAAGAAAAAAATACAGTGGTGATCTGTTAACAAACAATTCGGATAGCGAACATCATAATTGAATGGATTAAATTGTTTAAATGAATCATCCACCGTAAAAAAACATAATAAATTAAATTGAAATACAACGAATCCGTACGCGATAGATCTCTGTGCATATTTTAATACTAATATATATATACCTCTTTTAAAAAGTATGATATATATAACTTGATTTGGTAGACATAATTTAAATACGAATGAATTTATCTATAATAAGATGTACGACGACGAAAATATATGTATATATAAGCAATGTATCGATTGCAAAATTGATCGAAGTAGACTAGAAACTTAGAGTTGTATTATTTATAAAATTGTTTTCTTCTCACAAATAATTTCATCACCTTAAATAGTATTACTTTACGTAGACCATTAAATTGATATATTCATATTATATAAACTGTTACCACTAATTTACTAAATAATTTTCTTTGCATGTTGTTTGAAAAAACACATATTCAAATTTGACCAAATGTATCTCACACATCGTCGTTATCAGTCTTCAAAAGTAATTAGACGATGCTCTTTCTTTCTTTCTTTCTTTCTTTCTCTCTCTCTCTCTCCCTCTCATTGAAAAAGAATATGTACTATTAACTACAACGAAAACAAAATACAGATCTAACTTTTTTCTCATTCGATTTTCACTAATTAAAGATGTACAGCAGCGAGCGTATCACCTGTGTATTGTAATAACAGACAGTTTGCTAACTTTTTTCTTTTCTACACTTCTTAATCACATTTAATATATATACAAAATGGAATAAATAATCCCGCGTATAATTAATTACTAATATAGACGCTAGAGAATTTTATACTGACTCGTATCGATGGAATTATGTCATATTATTATATTATATACAACACGCAAACAGACAAAACGTTTAAACAGGAATGAATTATGGAAATTTCCTGCTATTTCTCCTCTCTCATCGTTTTTCTTTCTTTACACATATAAAAAAAAAAAAAGTAAAAGAGAAACATGATCTTGAAAATAATAAAATAAAATGTAAGATAAATTCTATATATTTATAGAATTTAAGAAACGTATCAAAAGATAAATACATTGGATAAAACCACGCGAATTATCCATCGAAAAGAAGAAAAAAAAAAATACTAAAGCAACGCGCGATTGCAAAATAAATGGATGAATTTTTGTTCTTTTCCATTTTTTTATAATGACTAGGTTTGCAACAATAAAAAAATTACTGCTACAAAACTTGTAAGATTTTACTCTATACCGTCGTTACTCTCGAAGAGGCCGTAGCTATTTCCGTTTGACTTTCTGTAACTTCGAACTTTCCTTCCTCATCGTCATCTGATCTGGCTTTAACTATGTGCGAAGGAATGTCTGCCGATTTAGGGTTGTAATTAAAGGGTGGTACGACAGCTGACGCCGGTGGTGTACGTCCATTACCCATGGACATGACTGGTATTTGTGCAACATCCGAATTTGGTGGGTCTACTGTTATAAAAGAACCAAGCCGTGACATGCGTTTAACGCTGTCAATTTCATTTCCAGCATCGTTTCCCTGTTGACGCCGTAAAACAACGGTATTATCTCCTTGTACGATTTCTTTTTTTGACGTGGTAGGATTAGATGATTTAACGGGAATCTTACATGGCGCCTCGTTCGCGTTCATACCGCTCAAGTCGCATGAATTTCTATATTTTATTCCGCTGGCTTGAACGTTCGTTATAGATGGCTGTTTGGATCGAGATTTTTGTATAGACAACTTATGACTGTCGTCTTGAGGAACTCCTTCGAACGTAGAGCTACGAAACAATCTAAACGCGGGTGGTTTGCTTGAAATTATTTGCCCGTCTACTACCTCCGTCGCACCGCTGACAGGTGTTATCCATTTTCTCGCGTCCGATTTATCAGACAATTGTTTCGTCTTGTTTTCTTCTACCTTCTTCCAAAGACTAGCGATTTTACTCGTAGCTTCCTTTGCTAGTCTACGACTTTGTACGCCGTTCGACGTGTCAGATATAATACTGGAATTACTGTTAGATCTCTGACCTAATGGTCCTACCTTTCTATAAACCTTCCCACTATCATTTTGCAATGCACTCTGATTACTTGTCAAACCTTTACCTGTTCCTGTTATTTTGGAACCGCTCTTAGGAATTCCTAACGTTGGCATGACTTTTGATACCTGTGGTTTTTCAATACCATTTGCTTTAACACCTTTCGTCTGATATGTTTGATGAGCTCTCACTGAAATTTTCGATTTGCCAACTGCCGGATGAATCTTTGACGTTCCTTTTATCGGTTTAGCAATTTTAGTTTTAACCGGCGAGGCTGGTGAAAATACTGTTGGTGCATTTTCTACTTCTGGCTCATCCTTAGTGAATGTTCCTTGACGTTCTAATGGTTTTGTCGGTGGTACTTCAGCTTTACATTCGTTTTGGCTATTTGAAGAGCATGCAGGTGGTGTACTGTGCCGTTTGTTGGGTCTGGTAAATGTTAACGAAGATCCCTTGCTGGGAACCGATGTTCTTTTACTCGCAGCATTCATATTTTTAATTTTATTTTCATAACTGGCAATAGCAGACGATATCTTTGGACTGGTATTTGTTTTCAAAGGTTCTTTCGTAGCAGCAGTTACACCTGAACCGTTGCTTTGCCTAAGAGTAGTAGCCCTGGTAGTTCTAACAATAGGAGAGGTATTACTACGTCCAATAGGAATAGCACTAATTGGAGTTGGATGTTTCAAGGGCGACGACTGTGGAGTTGGTTTTCTAGTAATTGGATTAGAATACAATGCTTTTCTCCTTCCACGAATTGCTTTTGGACTTCCTGGTTCCGACTTGTCCGTATTATTCGAATCCGCGCTAACGTCTCTACTGCTACTCATTCCTGGCTTAATTATACGTGGACGCTTCATTACCTGACATTGTTCTTCGGTGCAATTAGAACCATTGTCGCTCCCCGATTCCACAGGATCAATTTCTTCTTGAACATGTTCTACGTCAGATTTATCCTTTTCTTCCTGGACATTGTGATTGAATCTTTGGGAAATGTCTTGTGTTTGATGCGTATACGTGTCCATTAATTTTTTAGATACCCCATTGACAAAACATAATCTTAGACTTTGTTCAGACCCAGATTCGTTCGATACTAGGCTTAAAGTTTCTTGATCCAATAAAACATCGTCACCAAGAGAAATGGCATGATTCTTGCTAGATTCATTCAAGGTATTTAATACTATAGTAGCATTATGCTCCAACATGTTATTGATTTCTTCCAATGCAACGTTGTGCACGTTATCAGTGTTTTCCTTTTCTAAAGCATTTACCGTTGCTTCTAAATCACAGTCATCAGTCTTTTGCAAACACTCCGAATCATTTAACGTTCTTGTGCGATATCTTTCTTTATTTTCTTGATTTTCGGCACGCTTCTTTCTCAGTGCCTTAGGCATCGGCAATTTCGTGAGCGTAGGAATGGAAGATTTGCTAGCAGATGCTGGATCTTCAACTTCTGGATCCTTTTGTTGACAGAACTGTTCTATTTCTTCTTTGTTACTTGCGAGCGCATTGATACTTGGAAATGGATTTTCAAGTACCTGAGTTTGAAAGCGTGCCCTATCTTCTTGTCTACGTTGTTTGGGTGTTAATTTGGAGATAGGAGAACACTTGCCTTGGATTATTTTATTTGGCGTCTCTCCTGGTTTACCTTCTTGCTTACGCCTCTCTTCTTCTTTCTTAACAATTTCAGCAGCGATCGTATACGTTTTATATCTCTCTTTTGCCAAATTTCTCTTTTGTTTCGGCGTTAAATGACTTTTATTCGATCTTTTCTTTGGAGTCGATTCTGCAGAACTGCTGAGACAATATTCCGAAGAAATTGTAGTAACTCCTTCGTCGGTATCGTTCTCACCTTCGTCAATAGCTTCTACCAAAGTAGGTGGTACTTCTTCTGTGCGTAATTCTGTATCTATACATAAAGTATCGTTGCACAAAGTATCTGTGTTTCCTTCCATCGTCGACTGATCCATTTCACTCACTTCGTTGAAGAGAGATGGAGGATTAATATTTTCTAAATATTCACTTAGGCTATTGTTACCGCTTGATTGCATACCTTCGGCATATCGCATACACGTAATGGACAACACATTAGCGACAGGCTTAAGAAGATCAAATACTGGATCACTTCCTGATAACGAATGTGAATCATGATCCTTATTATCAGCTACTTCCGAGGTAATACTCGCAACACTCAGCATACTGTTTTCCATATCTCCAACATCTAACAGTTCGTCCATTACCGAAGGGGGCTTAACGTTTTCCAAATGAGAGTGTACACAATCGTTGAGCAAATTCTCTAAACTACCGGTATGACTTTGTCCCTGATTCAATGCTCTTTTAGCCACAACCCCAAGAGGCAAAGATTTCTTTCGACAATTTCGCGTGTCGGTAGCCGATTGATTCTTAGTTTGAACGGGTGGTAGAGAAGTAGAGTAACATCTGTCTCTGTTCACGTAACTTTCTATGTTGTCCGTAGGTCCAGCGTAACTGGCGGTCAAAGACAATAAACTTCCCATAGACGATGGTGGTTTAATGGCATCGAGATCGATAGATGTCATACTTGTTGTTTCCATTTCATTTTGCTTATTAACTTCGGCATCGACTGCTTCTGCTAATTTAATGGCTTCCTGCTGAATGATCTTGGAATCAGTCATACTTACATGCTCATCGTCTTCGCCTTCCGCGATGTCAGACATGGTTGTTGTTTGACCATCTGGAACATCGCTTTTGAAGGAAGGAATCATAGGAGCACTGATGCTTATACTTGGAAAAGACATTTCATTGGGGGAATCTTCGTTCCACGTATCACTTAATATACTTTGTTTCATCGTATTTGAAGAATCTCTTTCTCGTATCGCTTCGGTTTGTTGTACCAAAGTAGCTGTCAGCCGATCCAACGATGCGATCATAGCATCGGGATCGCGTTGACGTCTATAAACATCTTCTTCCACACGTTTAATCGTCTTATCAACAACGTATGTTACCTTTCCATCGATATCATCCTTCGTACTTTCAATACTATTCTCATCTTTCAAGGAATTTTTTAAATGAGTGTAAGATTCATCATTCAATAATTTTTTCTGTTGGTTGATAATTGAAATATGCTTTCCTTTAATATTTTCAGCCGCGTTAGGAAGTCCACTTTGTATGCACAGTTCTAACAATGCGTGTTCCGATTGTTCAACCGAATCAATAGAATTACTGCTTTCGGAATCTGTACTCTTCATTCTCGTTTCGTTTACATTTTCTACAACTTCTGTCTCTGTAAATGATTCATCTTTCTTCAGGATTTTAAGGTCTTTGTTGATGCAAACATCGTTACAAGTTTCAGAAGAAGACTCTGATTTCTCTTGTATGGAGTAGTTGATATTTGATGCAGTTGTTTTGTTACTACTACTAAGAGTTACATCTATTGTTGAAGATGCAGTACGAGCAGAAAAATTATTATGATCTGTTACACTAGTTACGCTAATGTTACCGTTCAAAGAATCTTTCTGCATATTTTGAGAAAGCATCGGTTTTTCTTTACTTAATTCCTAAAAATAATAAACAATAAATAAATTTACATCAAAATAATATAATTATTTGTGTGTAGAAAATAAAACAATGTACCTTCGATTTCGTTTGATCTTCTTTAGTTGTCAAAAATTCATCTTTGGAAGATTGAATAATATCTAACAAAACTGACGACGAATGCTCTCTCAAATTATTTATAGGCAGTGCTTTTCCAGCAGTTTCTGGTTGTATTAGATTGAAAGAATCAGTTGCAGTGCCAATAGAATCGTTAGATTCTACTTGATCTAAAGCAATGCTGGTTTGATACCTCATTAAATTACTCTCTGCTCTTGGAAGTTTTTCGAAACTATTTCCTATGAAGGAATGCCTATGTCTGTAAAAAGAAAGAACCATAAAAACCGTATAAAAATATATTTGTTAATTGATAAAAAAAATAACAATGAACTGCAACCACATGCAAAAACACACACACACAAACAAATCGTGTATTTTCATTACCTATTGTTTTGCATTCCAATGTTGATACAAGCAGCAAGTAAATCTTCATCATCCTCGTCAACATCGCTAGCTTGATCTAAATTACCAACGTAAGAAGTACCTTTGTTTAGAAATAACTCTTTCGAGGTTCTAGACTCGCTATCAAATGTTATGCTTTGATTAGTTATTATCTCATGCTTATCTGGAAAAAGTTCATTCATTATAAAGATAACATCGATAAGGTTTACACAAGGTGTATAAATATAAAGTCTGATGCATACACACAAAATGTATGGTCGTCAAAGAAAGTTCACATCCTTGCTTACCTATTTTAATATCGGATGAATTCATTTTTGTCGAATCATCTTGATTATATTGACAACTACTTGATACTGATGATGATGACTCTTGCCACGTAGTTTTCTCCACGAATTCTTTCGTAGGATTGAAATTTTGCTTTTTATTTTGACCGGTAGTAAAACGATTGATTTTTTCTACATCCAACAAAGACGACGCTTTATCGTTTTGTTCAGTATCATGCAATTTATTGGGTTCTAATAATTTTCTCGATAAACTTTTCATTTTACTGTCTTCCTGTAAGTCGGAAGACGAAGCTGCTCGAGAAGAATTCAAGGAAATTCCACGCGGTGTACCTTCGGTACAATACATTTTAACGGTGTCATCCTCTTGGGACGAGACTTCATTCGGTAATGAGGATGTGATGAGACTTTGTTCGGTAGTGACAAAATATACGGCGTGTTGTTTCTCGTCATCCTCAATAGTTTGTTCAGCATATCGTATGCTATAATCCGTGGGCTGATCTAGATCAGTTTCGGCATAATTTCGAAACAATGATTCCTCCGAATTATGACTCAAAGTAGGTGATATTACATTTTGAATCGAATTCAGAGGATCGTGTTGATGCAACAACGATGTGTCGGAATACATGCGATCGTAATCCTCGCATTGCTTAGTTGAAAAATTATCAGGTACGTAAGATAGTTGCGACGATATTTCTGATTTAGATTTAGGAATATCGCTACGGTATTCCGAATTTGGACAAACAGTTACTTCGGTATTTTCCGAGACGCTGGATTGACTGGTGAATTTAGACGTGGATGACATACTTTGATTGAGTAACAAAGCGTTTTCTTCGACAGATGAATGTAATAAGGTTTGGGAGCAAACAGCTTCTTGATCAGGAACAGATGACCATGATATAGTTGAAGTAGTCGAACGTAATTCACTGCCATTACCGAATCCAATGTCGGTAGGTCTAAGATTTTCGGGTATTGCATTTTTGTAACGCAAGGTATATTTCTTCTCAGATGAAGTTGTTTTTGGATTATCCAATTGTATTCCATTATCGAATCCTGTTGCTGCATGTAAAGATAAAGATTGTTTTCCTTGTGGCTCGGTTGGCGACATTCCGTTCATAACATGTCGGTGAACTCTTTCAAACATCGTGTCGGAATGTGTACTAGTTACCGACCTCATGGATTCTCTACTTTCGCTTCTGGAAACTCCGTTGCATTTATTGCCACCGGATGCACTAGATTGATTATACAATTGATAAGATCGTAATCCACGTGTATTAACAGCGAGAAAGCTGTGATCAGTTTTAAACGTGAATTTGTCTTCCTTGTTAGTTGGCGACGTACTCGGTTCAATATTATCACAAGTTTCAGCTAGATTTTGATCAATTTCTTGTTCGAGGGCGCGTTGTCTTCGAGCTGCGAGAGATGGCAAGGTCGATAATCCAAGTCCGCGCGCAGTTGAATCCAATTGTACGAGATTGCTGCAGCCAGGTTTGGCACTGAGTAAATTTTTTAACGCTGCACTAGAACCCATGGATATCATTTTATGCTTCGAATGTACGAGACTTCGTAACATGGGTACAGCACCCAAGGACCAAAGAAGACGTTGATCTTGTGGACACCTCGCTGAGAGATTCCAAAGTGCTCCGCATGCGTTACTGACAACTGTCAGACTGGGTGATCGTAATTGTTGTAAAAGTACTTGCAAGCAACCCCTTTCTCGTACAATAGCTCTGTAATCTTCTCTAACGGCAACGTGACAGGAAACGTTTCGCAATATACCACCGGCATTTTCAACAATGGCCAAAGTTTTAGACGGAGCGTTGTAACTGAGCATGTCGACGAGAAAAGCGAGAGCTCCGTCGACCGCGCATATGTCTACTTTGTTCGTACTACAATGAGCAGATAGATTCCAAAGTGCCGATAATATAGACTTCAGGGTTGACTCTTTTCGACCCTCCATAGCAGCTTTCATCAATCCCGTAACTGCTCCAACTTCCCTCAACGTTTGTTTGCTACTGCTATCGGCTCGCCATGATAAATTTCTCAATACGCTTGCAGTTACTTGTCTGAGATCGTCGCTGGGGCTTCGCAATTGAGAGACCAATGCTTTCATAAATTCACGGAAGGAACATAAAAGAGCCTTGTTGTTACCATCGCCAAACGTTAAATTGGTCAACGCCATGCCCGCGTATCTTCTTAAAGTGATACAATTTTGATCGTCGCATTCGCTGCCATGAGCTAGGTGATCCATCTCTATTAATTCGGCTACGGCATGAAGACCACCGAGTTGACACATCGCGTGACGATGTGCCTCGTCAAACGATAATTTCATGAGGGCTGCTATTGTTGGTCCTGGATGTTTGTCAAGATCCGCTGGCTGTCCCGATTCCAACAACGTTCTCAATGATTGACAATAATCTCGTAATTGTTCGAGGAACCTGAGAACTCGTGTCTCGCGACGTCTTGCTCTCTCGTCGCTTTTAGCATGAACAACATTGTGCAACGCACGGGACGCTCTTTCTCTCGTTTCTGGATCTTGTCCAGCAGCATGAATCAATTGAACGAGCAAAGGTAGACAGCCGGATTGTCTCATGACGAGACAACTGTCGATAGAAGTACTCATTGATAATAAAGTTGAGCTCATATCTTCTCGACCTTCGGAACTTCCTAGCATGCTCAACAAATTATAGACAACGTCAACTTTAGCTCCCAATCTACGATGTCCTTGCATCTCCGTCGAATTACCAAGCATCGTACCAGAATTTGATGAAAAACTCATGACACTTGCCATGTCCTGTAATACAACGCGTCATTTGACAACCCCCTCAAAGTTAACATAGAAATATCTTCTAATATCCATTAAGATTATGATAGTTCGAACTTACGTTATGGGTAGACATACTCGATGTACTCTGTTGATTGGAAAATCCCATTTGTTGATTTGCCCATAAATCTCTTCTGATGGGCCAAGTTCCGCTATAGGATGATGGTAATCCATGACATTGAAGGGAACTGCTGCCCGGCTTGTTTTCTTCCTCGCTACTGGCATCCTCGTTGTAACATTTATTTCTTCTCACATAAAACTGTAATGCACAGGTTTATATATATAATATACACACACACACACACACATAAGATGGCATTTCAAAAATACATGATTAAACAATCCTGCGCTACGGTAGCAGAGAACTTTTTTCAATATCAAGACAATTTTCTGACGTCACGAGGATACATCGATCAACCTCACAAACACATCAATTGTTTATATATCTTTTTCCTCTCTCTTTCTTACTTTCTTTTTTTTTCTTCTTTTTTATTTCGAATGCATACCGTATGACTCACTGTATTCATTTCTGCAAAGTGCATCCGCAGAAGAAGAATGATGAGCCGAATGTAAGAGCGAAGAAGAATAACTTAAAGGCAGTCCATGTAGGAAAAAAAAAGAGGAAGGAAGAGAAATATACGCCGAAGGGAAATGCATGCTTCTGTATTAGTGAGTGAGGGAGGAGAGCCAAAAGGGGAAAGGGAAAAGAGAGTAGACAAGGAAGACAGACCCCGAGAGAACAGGAGCGAGAAAGAGAGAGAAATAGCGAGAGAGCTCGAGTAAAATCAATACGTGCTACGTTAGTGGACGTGTATATATGGGATATACGTGCGCCACGAGGCGCAGCTCGACAGCACCCTCTCTTTCTCTCTCTCTCTCTCTTTCTTTCCTTCTTTCTTTCTCTGTCTCTCTTATTTTCCAGACTCCATCAGACGACCATGAAAATAAATTTCCACAAAACGACGACGTGTCTCGATACTCGAAAAAAAAACAAAAGTCATCCAACCAAATAGCAAACCAAAGAAACAATCACGTTTAGGCAGCAGCACACACACACACAGTAATAAAAATGATAATAATAATGATCCCCTTGGATAATACGACACTTTTATCACACAATTATTAATTGTCTCGATAAAATAAGACTTGAAATATAGTCACAACACGAGAAAGATGCTGCTGCTGCAGAAATAAAATAAAATAAAATATGAGACAAATATTGAGTACCTCAGGACTGGAGGTGGACGATCTGCGTTCGTCTTCTTCTTTGATCTCGGGTTCCATGGCATCCTCTTTCTTGGTATCCTTGATGAAACAACAACCGGCAGATGATAATAGATAATTTGATTGACGTAAATCAGTATTCGTAGCATCGGTGAACAAATTCTTGGCAGCGGCAGATCTCACAGCCGCTGCCGCAGTAGTGGCCGTCGTGGCAGCCGTGTTGTTGATGGTGTTGGTGGTGTTAATGTTGGTGTTGGTGGTGGTGATGATCGTCGTGGGTGCCACCACCACCGGCACTGCCGGCACCGCTAAAGCGGCTGGACGTCTCGACGAGCAGCTTGTCTCCGGCTCGTGCGCCGCGACGACCACGGGGTAAACCAGGGCCGTACTAATATCGCCTTCCAAAATTCGGATCGGTCGCCTAACGTTTACAGGATTGTTATACCTGCTACTTCTGCTGATGCTACTGCTGCTACTGCTGTTACTGTTGTTAATTTGAATCAAATTGTTGCTGCTACTGCTGCTACTACTGCTGCTGGTACCCAAACCGCTGCTACTACCAACGCACTCTTCCACTTCGAATCTCTCGTACGAGTGATGAGCTTCTCCTACCAATCCTCCTCCGCCTCCTCCTGCTCCTGCTCCTCCTCCTCCTCTTTTTTCTCCTACTCTTACCGCTCCTCTTTCTGTATTCTCCTCCGGGAACAAACCCCAAGTTTTCTTCGATGCCACCACCTCAACCTTCTCCTATGGGCAAGCAAATATTTGTTTTACATTATTAAACATTATTAGTTTTTCACATTGGATTGGAATGATGATTTTTTTAATCTGTTTACTAGTATTGATTATATGATTGTTTTAATCCTTTGTTAGTATATTTCGGTTATAAATAATCAATACTTTCTTCTAATTGAAAACAAAATAGTCTGCTATCTGATGAAAGCCATCATTCACTCTGGATGTCATTCTTAATGGATACAAATGCAGTCCAAGAACTACTAGTCATAGCAATTAGAAAGAAATGTTCTTCTAACAGTGAAAATCAATTGAAACTATCAAACAGAGATAATGATGATGATGATCAAACGTAAATCACGTTGATTGTCTAACTCGTAAGACAAATTACAATTTCGTTCTACATTTATTTCTTGTTTTATTTTATTTTTATCTTTCTTTCTTCCATCCACTTCATATAGTAATAGAAACTTTCTAAAAATGAGAGAAAATAAGGTGAAACAGAGCGATTTACTTTCTTTTTAATTTAACGTTTTAAAGAAGAAACAAGAAGAAGAAGAAGAAGAAGAAAAAGTCCAATTTCCGCAAATGGCGATCAACGCGTGGTTTGTTAAGTGGTCAATTGGAGTTGGCGGCGGGAGATTGAAATGAGAGTTTAAATGCCGCGTTTGACCTTGGATTTACAATCTCTCTACTACTACAGGTGTTACGGCTTGTGTAAATCTCAGCCACGTATATATAATAAATGCAAATCTATAAATATATCGCATAAAAAGATATTTCAACATTTAAATGTTGATTTATACGCCATTGTTATCGTCATCATGGAATGACGGTGGTAATAATTACGAAACTACACACCCCTTACGTCATAATGCATACATCACGTATACAAATATAGTTTCCTACTTAAAAAGAAAAAGAAAATATTCTAACGATTCTAACAAGTTGAAACTAGGCCAAAGGAGTGGAAATATTTGAACAAATAAATATTTAAGAAATATCACTATCATATTAACATGTAAGATACATTTAAGTTGGCAAATTTGGATCATTCAATTGTAATAAATAATAATAATATATTACCGAGAGATTATATTAAGAAAATAGGATTGAGAAAACGAAATGACTTTACGAACAACTTCAAATATCATCGGGAGGAGGAGTTTACTTTTTTTCTTCTTCAAACGTTACGTGAAAATAGAAAAAGTAGATATTAAAAATAGTATCCCTAGTATTTCGTTGAACGTTCGAACGAAGATTCGAGGGAGGGAAACTTTCCTAAAAAAATAAAAAGAAGAGGAGAAAAAAAATCAACATAAACGAGACAAATTAGAGCATACCAATCAGTGACGCGATCAAAACGAAAGTAAGCTTGGAATATTGTTTGCTTCAGTGTTACGGCCAATGTACTCAAATTAATAATAAGCATTGACCCAGGGTATACATAGAAATCTCTTTTAGTTTCTTCAGACCGTATAATTGATTGGAAATTATTCTTCGTGCCAAGAGAAAAAGAAGAAGAATAAGAAGAAGGAACTATCATCATATAAATTTAAAAATCATTCAAATGTAGACTCAAAAATAAATCAATCGTGTTGTTAAAAGAATAATTAAACCAAATTACGCAGAAAGCTATGAAGAAAGTAAGTTAACTTCTATTGAATAAAGGCATGATTTTATTTTTTATATTGTTAATGACTTATTTATAAATAAGTAGCATAATTGATAAAGGATTTGTGTTAAATTGCATGTTAACTAAATTTCCTGTCATTTTAAAAATTCCTACAATTTCTGCATCATTTTGTAATGAATTAATCGATCTAATATATCATTTTTTTTTTAAATTAAACGAGTAAGAAACACACACGATCGTCTAACACAAAAGACACGCCTTCGTGCAATCGAAGGAGGATATTACGTAAACAACAACAACAACAACAACTACTACGACACGTTCTTTCATTATAAAGACAATCACCTTGCAATCTCTAGTCCGATAATTATCCCGTGCGAATTTTGAATATCGTAAGATCGTCGAAGTTGCATTAAAACGATCGTTGTAAGATCTATCTTCGTATTGATCTTCTTCTTCTTCTTTCTCAACAGCATCCAAACTTTCCTTATTTTCCATGATTAATTTCAAACGATTTTTCTTAGTCTTAACAGTTTTTGGATTAACTGTTGTAATATTCGTTGAGAAAAATTTCGTAGAACATGGTAAAGGAATCATCGTGTTGTTTGATCGTTGTTGACGCATCGAAGAATTAAATGATCCTTGACGAGAATCATCTGATAACAGATGTCTTATCGAAGAACGATTCATCTGATTCCCAGGATTATTTCTGGGCATCTTTTATCAACTTAATCCAAAAAATATATTTGAGTGCGTAAATATAAGAAATTTGTCCGACGAACTAGAATGAAGTGTCTCTTTCAAACGTCACGATGATAGATCAAACGTTGTCCTGGTTTGATGGGACGTAGTAACATCATCGATGTGTCTCTTGAATAGTACAATACTTTCTCTAGAACCTCTCCAACTCCTCTTTCCCTCCTCTTTCTATTTCAATCTTCATCGTGTTCCATCAGATGTCGGACAGGAGGTTCGACGCATGCGTCGAAGCAAAGATTTTCAAAATGTCCCCCTTCAATGCCATTTCAGTAACCCCTTTCTTTTATAGCAACTAACCTTCTTCACACCTCCTTTATTCTGGTCTCATGTATATGTGTGTATGTGTATGTGTTTAAACAAACGATACGGAAATATCTTTCCGTTTGTTCTTTTTTTTTATTAATTTATTCACTGAGTAGAATAATCGATAAAAGATTATAAAATATCTTGGAGGATCTTACTCGCGGATGAGTATTTTTCGTTTGGTGAATAACAACAACACGCATCGATGTCCCTTCACGACGTTCCATTTATAGTCATACGCAGGCAGACACAGAACAGCACAGCAGAGCAGCTGCTGCTGTTGCTGCGGACTTGGGCTACGTTTTTACGATGTTCTTTGTATGCCAAGCGTGCAACTTGCGGGCCACGTGCTCGACGCAACATCCTCCATAAGATGATCCTATAGGAAATAACTCGAGGAGTTGACAAGAAGAAAAAACAACTTGATCGTAGGGTTCAGCAAACTAAATTGTCAAAACTATGTGTGTCTGTCTTTCTAAAATTAACATTTCTTTCTGTACACACGGATCACATTCTACACTCTTGCAGCACATTGAAAATAATCTACGAAACAATGACGCGTTGTTGATATATTTGTTCAAATATTACGCGAATTAAACGATACAATTTGATTAATTGATAATTATCACAATAATCATCGTACATTTCAATTCGAACACGCAGCAAACATTCGATGATCACAAGACGCGTTTCAATTTAATTATTCTCCGGTTGTACACTGCAACGATTAAACTTGGTGCAGAGGAAAAACGAACAAGAACTAAATTCAAAGGAATGGAAAAACATTGTGGTATGTATGTATAGCAGTCAGACTTAAAAGAACCGTCACACTGAATCGTCCATAACGGAAAGAATCGAGAACGTGGAAGGTCGAATGATAACGAGCTTAACCGCAAAGAAACGAAATGCAACTAAACGTTGTCTTTGCTAATTTAAGTCTTTCAGGACTTTTGAAAAAATAACTTCGAAAGTACTATCACAATATCGATCTCAACGAATTCGATTGATTATCAAATATAAATATTTTCTTGAAATGCAACAACAACAACAACAAAACAATTGGAACGAATGATTTCATCTCTTACTGTTTTCTTATAACTGTTGAATTTGGAAAATGAAATTTTCTGTCCTTTAACAATTAAATATTCTTTTCCCCCCCTTGTAATTTTTAATTTTTTTTTTTTTCAACACTAAACGTACATAATATTTAACGAGGAAAATGAGGAATCTCGAATGCACGTAGCCTAAGTGGCTGATATAAACTGACGTAGGATAGGGGATCGGAGAACAGCTGGGCTCGGCCTGGCTGCTGTGCGCCATCACTGACTCACTCTCACTCTCTCTCTTTCTCTCTCTTTCTCTCTCTTATTCCTCTCAACAACTCCCACTCTATCATTCTCTCTTTCTCACTTACTCATACTCTACTTTTCTCTCTTTCTCTCACACTCGATTTCCTTTCTCTCTCTATCTCTCGCTGTGTACATAATCTTCCTTCCTGTTCCATGATCTATCTGCATCCTCTTCAACCCTTTCACTATATCCCTTTAAGGTACATTCAAATCTTATCTACGTTCAACCCTTTAAAAATAAACAAACTACAATTTTCTTATAATAAAAAGAACATTCTACAGGTCAAGATTAGACGATCTTATTTATCTTTTATCCTCAGATGCAATTTTTCTTTTCTTTTTATATACTGAAAAGAACATTTCATAGGAAATAAAATGTTTACAAAATTGACTAAGTTGTGTGTGACTGGAGTATCAAATTTTTGTTAATTAAATCTTCTTAATTAAATAAATTAAACATTTGGGATTACAATTGAACAGTTATAATGAAAAGAAAAGAAATAAAAAGAAAGAAAGGAAAAAAACAAAATGCAGGTACTTTATGAATGCCCAATATTCTTTTCTATGGGGGGTTAGTTAAACAGTTTCGGGCTATTTGTTGGATTGAAAGAAGGGACACACACAAAGAGAGAGAGAGAGAAAGCCTGATCAATAACATCCCCTGCAAGTAGAGTAGAGTGGTGGTAAAACCCTCACAATCCCCCCTAACTTCCCGGTCCCCTTCAATCTTTCCCCCATGAGTAAGGCGCATGCTCGCCAATGAAATTTCTCTTTCTCCTACTTCACTTCTTCTTTTTTTTTTTCTTCTTCTTCTTCTCTCTCACTCTCTCACGATTACCCCATAATTTTCTACCACCCCTGCTGATATATATGCTTTATATATAGATAGATCTGTGTTTGTACGTGTGTGCGTATATATTTGAAGGGCACGCGGAAGGACAAGCATATACATAGGGTTTTTTTCGAGAGAATGCACTTGATTCACAGCATTGAACTTGAAATATTTTGATAATGTTTACGATAACTTTCGTAAAACACAAACATTTTATAGTAATTAATCAGACAAACAAACAATAAATAGTGAAATAAAAGTTCTCACATTTACACAGCACACCCCATAACGCATCATAGATGCAATTTACACAAATAAATTATATACAGTAGAATTATGTAACTTTTACAACAGTACAGGTTGGGTCGTGAGTGAAGATTAAAGTATCGCATTATTAAGTATTCTTCTAAACGGATACACCACCACCGTGTGAATATAAAAAACTTGGTGCGTGAAAAGAAAATAAATCTATTAAATACTTTTACAGATTATATATCAGCTTGAAAAATCTCCTCTATCTTACTCTCTCTCTCTCTCTCTCTCTCTCTCTCAAAGAAAAAAAAAAGAAAATATTTATATTGATTCCCATATCTAATCTAATACTATAATAAGTACGTTTCGTTGCATTAATATCGACTGCACTGCGGTTTAAAATACAGCGTGCTATGCAAGCAAGCAAGCAACTACGGATGCAACGTATTAACTAGCTCGTTGCTGATAGTTTCATAGATACTAACACATGTGTTCCCTAGAATGCGACCTTTTACTGACCTTAAAAAATAATTTATAAAAAAAGAAGCAACAAAAAATCTGAGAAGAACTCCGATAAAGCAACTGTTAAAAGGAAATAATAATCTAACAATGAGAAAATTATTAATAACTGGTTCTGATAAAAAACGATTATTAACACAATTCCAGAAATAAGTGATATCTCTTTTTACATAGATCACATCTGTCGCGTCAAGCTGAATGAGATAATGACAGGCATGATTCATAAGTACATATATATGTACTTTTAGATGTCTTATACGTACAAGAAATGTTGCTTTTTAAGTATACTTTGCATATATAACATTTTGATGGTGATGACGAGGATGATGATGATCATAAGGTTTAAGAGGTAAATAAGAATTAATCTCTGTTATCCAATGGACGTTATAAATGTCTCTTTGATGAGGTAACAGAAGAATAATTAGTAATTAGACTACTCGCATTTGGAAAGTGGCCAATTTCTAAAGACAAACTTTCACCACAAGTGTACACCAATTTTCGAATTTCAATATTAATCATTTATTTTCTATTGTAAGGGAAAAAAAGAACCATAAATGACAAGATTACTTTCTAATTGGACAATTGGTATAGAAAAATAAAACTACGGTTGGTATACATTTCTACAAAATGTAAGTGAATGCTTGTTAATTGGCTTACACTTGGTCCAACAGTGTCGTCCAACATTAAATTACTAAGCTCCGTTGTAGAATGATGATAGTTGATGATGATGACGATGATAATGATGATGATGACGATGGTGCGTGTGGACAAAGGAGAGGGTTCGTTAACGAAGCTCTTACACGTTCACACTTACTGCTGCTTGCTTGATTGCTTGCTTACTTGCTTGCTTGCTAGTTTGCTTGCTTGCACGAGACGACGTAGTTCAAAGGAATCAAACGCTTACTAACACCAGCAACCAAATGTGTTACAGCTTACCTGCGAGATCAATCGATCGTGCTCGTAGTTTCTCTGGGCCAAAAGTCGACTGGTGAGGTCGCCCGATCGAAAATAGTCAACACTCTCCAAATTTGATAAGAACCTTGGACGAAGTCGGAGATTGCTGGTAAAAATCATACAAACAAATTCTTTCTTATTTATTGTATCAATTTTGTTTTTTTTATTTTCAATCCAAATATTTAACCCTAGAACTATACAAACTTATTTAACTCCCAAACTACAAACTGGGGTATATATTTACCCCCAAGGGTTTTTTTAGTCCTAAAAACTGTTCTGATAGCAATAATCAGACCTTTTAAGTATATAAATTTTTATGTTTTTTTCATGCCAAAGAGAATGGTGAAGATAAAATTTTAAGTAGATGGAATAATAGAAAATGAAAAGGTGTTTCCATTAAAATACCTCGGTGTAAAATACTAGACAATTTTAGAAACAACCACCCCAACGGCAAAGGAAAGAATGAAAAGTGAAGCGTTGAAACGTGAAATAAATGTGTGGTGGTATTAGTAATAGTAGTAGTAGTAGTGGTAAATGCGCGACAGAGAAGAACCTGCTTTACAGGCATGCACAGAAGATGAAAGCTAACGATCACAAAAGTTTTTCAGAACGTTGCAAGAGCAAAGACGCGTCCGGCACAATATTTGGTGCCATCAACCCAGAACTAAGTAAAAGCTGCTGTATACAACTTCCTTAGTGTGTTGTATATGCCTCTAACGAAGAAGCAAAAAGAAAAAGAAACAGAGGGAGGGAGGGCTGTGGGTTCTTTTGAGAGTTTTATCTTTTAAAGTACATATTTTTTGTCTAAATATTATTAACTCACTTGCACTCAACAAAAGGACCTTGCCCATCCTCAGTCCTACGTCTTTTTTCGTCTTTTCTTAATATATTATCTGCCAGTATCCTCCCTGAAAAGAGATACATGTGTATTATTATTAGAAATAATATTTATTTAAATATAATTTGTATACTATACTATACTAATATAATATTTTTTTATTATTTATTATACTATTAATTTATACTATTATCATTGATATTACAAAACACTCATTTCGATTTTGTACCTACAATAAAAAAAAAAATATTGGAGTAAGACAGAAAATTGAAAATTACAATTTCCAAAAAAAAAAGAACCTCTTACATCAATTTAACTAATAATCATTTATACATTCTCAAACTCGTTAGAGACGATTGATATAACCGTACTGTACTGTATGTAAAATCGTGGCAAAAAGATGCAAAAGTAATGAGAAGAGTGCTCGAACAAACTGATAGACGGTTCTCCTTCGCACGTGTTTTATGTAATTGAACGGTGTTACGTATGTGCATGCATATATATACGTAAATAAAAATACAGTTACCAGAAGAAGCAAAAAAGAAAAAGAAGAAGAAGAAAAAGAAGCGAAAAAGAGGATCAAGTACCAACCCTCTTGAGTTCTTTAAATAAAACATTACTCGCGTTTGATAAATACGAGTACAGGGAGAAAGAAATAAAGAAATAAATAAATAAAGAAAGAAATTTCTTTATGAGAAAAATTGTTGAAATCCTTTTGGCCAATTATTACATGGCGGCAACATAACACGTTGATCATAATGATGAGTACTACTCACTGAGAAAATCCATATGCGAATTGCCCTTGAACTTGAGTCACTCGAGCCTAACCAAAATTATTTCGATGCCTGGTAGCACACGTTTCTCTTAATCATCATGATCTTTTACATACACACATGCATACATTAAATACACACACATATTTACGTGGATTTGTGCCTTTGAATCGAGACGAGGTTAGTTCTCGTTAACTACTCCTTCAATTTTACCTCTTCGCGATAATTAGTCATCGTCAAAATTATACTTGGATTGAGAGAAACAAAATTGAAGAAAATAAAAAAACAGAAAAATAAGGTAAAACGATCAAGAGGAAAAGTGAGTGAGAAAGAGAGAGAGAGAGAGAGAGAGAGAGAGAGAGAGAGAGAGAGAGAGAATGAGTGAGTGAAAGAAAAAAAAAGGATAATTAATTGAATTATTAGAAAGGAAAAAAAATAATCAAAATTTTGTATTTATATCCTCAACGTTCGAACGATTTTTCTTTTCTGTCATCTAAAAGTCTAATCTTTAAAGACATTGAGCAAATTTCATTTCTATCTTTCTCTCTTTCTCTCTCTTTTTTTATGCATGTCTAACTGTCTGTCTCGCTTACTCGCACATACAACTGTTTCGTACACGTGAATGCATCGAAGATCTCGTTTACTCGCTCGAAATACGTTTTCTCTATCTTTTTCTCTCTCCCACTCTCTTTTTTTTCCCCCTGTTCACCCCACCTATTGTATCACACACCTAAATTTCCTGTTATATGTACGTGCCAAATAAAATAGGAATAGTAATGGTCTTTTCCCTATGCGTATTCACGTGTGTGTATGTGCGCGTTGTGTAGATGTAGATTCAAAGAAGAAAGATTAGAGAGCGAAATTCGTAGAAACATTTTATCCTCCTTTTTTATCTTTCTCCCTGTCACCGAGCCAAAAGGTTGCACTGTCAAACCCCCCCATTTACTTTTATTTACTAATATGTAACAATTAATGCATCTATGTAATAGTTCATTGATTTACAAAATGGTTCAAGTTATATTGCAAATATTTTTTATCATAAACCCTTAAAAACACATTCAACAACATGTTACAACATTTTTCTGTTCAGTGTGATCAAATATTTGTATCGTAGATTGTTTTTTTCTTTTTTGAAACTTTAAATATGATTTCAAATACATTCTTTACGTGTACGAGAACAAACAGACGGAGAGAAAGAGAGAGAAAGGGAAATTCATCCAATATTTTAGTATTTTTTTTTCGTTTGTTCTTTTTTTTCAGGTCGGTTTGGTTTCTCGTGAAAAGCTGCGTAGTTCTGGTGGCACCGATCCAAAGCCATCGTCGTCTCTTCAACGTCCAGACGCCATGCGCTAGACATAGCACGTGTCACGATCCTCTTCGTGATAGTTTAAATCGAGTTTCACGCGTCTTTCTCTTTCTCTCTCTCTCTTTCTCTTTTTCATGGCACCGATAACGCGACGTAATCTTGGATGCGAGGCAAATTCTTTGGAAATGGTATGTGTAACTCCGTCTTCTATCTAATGTAAGTAAGATACTTTCAAGAATTTCTACTAAAAATGGCAAATAAGTATATACTCTTTGTATACAAAAAATGAGAAAAATTTGGATCTTATTCGTTTACGATCGAATTTTTGTTCTTCGTTCCTTTTTTTCCCCGGACAAGAAAAGGGAGAGGAGACAATTCGACTTACCTTTTTTACAATCGCGTCTCTCGTAAGTCAAATTGTGATTCACGTCCTGCGGGATGTTCGCGTTGTATAGAGCAGAATGCAAGTCTCGTTGCAACAATCTCGTCTCGTGAGTAAGCTCTCGAACCTGGTCGAGAAGCTTCTCATAGCTCGATATTGGAAGCGTCATTCCTCTCTCATTTGGCTTCATTTACGTATCGTTCCTTGAGTTAGCCGCGCCTTCGTTGGACGCCTTATTTTACCCTCCACCGACATTTTTTTTTCGACGATTAGTTTTTCTTTCTTTTTTTTTTGCTTTTTTTCCCCTCTAAAACAATATAATCACGTTACGACGATCAATTAAATTCTACGAGGAGAAACAACCGAAAATATTCTATTAAATTGTCTCTAAGCAAACCCCCTTTTTTCTTCTATACCACCACCAACCAAACAAAATTATTTTTTAACCCTTTGAGTGCTATGAACGCATATATGCGTTTGGTAAAACTTGATACGCGCGTTTTTATCAATGTGAATGTAAAATAATGTAATATATTTGTTGTATCTTGTCAGATAAAAATAATATATATTGCGAGAAAGAAAAATTATTATTAATAAATTATTTCCTTTGTAGAAAACACTTCAGTTAAAAGTATTCAGCATTCAAAGGGTTAAAGTACAATATTTTTTCTTTTAATAAATAACAAGTTAAATAAAAAGCTTCGTTAATAATGATGCCGAAATAAATAAGAGAGAAATTTCTTCCGAAGTAAATACAAACAATATTTCTACTGGTCACTATTGCGTTAAAAAGAAACAAAAATACAATAATTGTCGTAGACGATATTTTCAATTAAACATTGAACTTAAATTGAAATGTTTGACATAATAATAAAATCGTGCTATCCTTTTTCGGACAAATTAACAAAGTTTTTTTTTATCAATGCTTTCAAGTAAAATGGGAACGAAGACACACATTTGAAGAGATTAAAATACTTTTTGTGTTCCAAGGGAAAGAATTCTGTGTATGTGTGTATGCGTGTGTGTCAAACGATCATCATCCTTGACGTTGAATATAATCTTTTATCTTTTTTCAATCAATGGAAAAAGATCGTATATGACAAAATGAAAATTCGTCGTGCGTATTAAGATTGATGATTATTTTTTCATCGAGAACAACTCATACATCGATCTTTTATTATTATCGCTTTTACGAACATTCGAGTATCAAACTGAAGAGAAAACTTTCCTCTTTTTAACACATCTTCTTTTCTATACTAACAATAATTATAATTATAATAATGACGGTTGTAGAACAATGAGAGAGAATTCGAAGATGGGAAAAGAAAAGAAAAAAATGGGAAGGATAAAAATATGAAAAATCAAATATTTTCATTAATGAAGGACGAAAGACGAAGAAGAAAAAAAATGATCAAAAAAGAAAGAACAAAGATCGCATTGATATGAAATATTATAATTGTGATATATACTTTTCGTATGCAATTGTAAAATAAAAAATAACAAGAAAATTGCGAGCAAAATTCTCTTATCTCGGATAAACATAATAAAAATAAAAGATCTAAATAAAAGAAAAATATAAATTTAATTGACGGTATATAAGAGAATCATACATGATTTTGAAGATACACGTTTGATAATTTTCAGTTACCACGTGCGTGCAGTAATAGAAAAAT